AAATACATTGCTAAATATTGCTAATTTGTAATCCGTATATAACAAGTTGTTAGCACACCGTCAACTTTCAAGGACTTTACTTCCAAGCCCGGAGTTTTCCCCGTTTCATGTGAGTATATCGCCATGGCTCCTGTTCCGTGTTCTGAGTGCAATATATTTAGTCATTCTTCTCCTATCATTAACGGTACATTTATCTGTGATGAGTGTCAGTTAGTTGCTTGGCTGACAGAGAAGATTGCAGTGTTAGAACAATGATCATTTGCTGCTATTCTTCTCTGTAGGTGTATGTCAGAATGCAGTTAGGCCTACTCATGCCTGTAACCATACCCTCTTAGCCATGGTGTCCTAGTGGAACATGTACTGTATGTATTGTCCCTCAGAATACTCTACTCTCAGATTCTTACTTGTTAACGTTTGAAATACAGTATAGTCTCTCTTCGGCCCCAGCTCCAAAGTACAGAATCAGATGTTCCATAGCCTCATTATCTACAACAACATTTTAAAATCAACTTCCACAGTCCTTCAACCTTAAAATCTGAAGCCTCGTGTGAAAATGAACTTGAAAAGGTAACCATGAACATGGTGAAATCGTTTCGCGGCACTCCAGATCTTGTAGCTCCACTTAAGAAAATAACACACAGAGATAATAACTTAAACAGGCTTCACGCAAGCTAGAGCACAAATGGCGCTCAACTAAACTAGAAGTTTTCGGATCTACATGGAAAGAGAGCTTCTCTAAGTATAGACAAGCACTAGTGACTGCTAGATCTGTGTATCTCTCCAGCTTACTAGAAGAGAACAAAAACTCCTGTTTAGAATTTGGTGATCAGTGTTGACACACCACAGTGCACAACAATGAAATGTATCCTCTGCATTTACCCTATATGTGACATTGTGACATAGCAGGGGCAGCTAATTCAGCACCCAGGGAGCAGTGCTTGGGGGTGGTATCTTGCTCAGGGTACCTCAGCAGTACCTTGCTGGTTGCCGATTCAAACCAGCAATCTTTCAAGTACAAGTGTGCTTCCCTAACCATTAGGCCACCACTGCCCCAATTTTTAACATTTTATTTATTTATTTTTTAATTAAAAAAAAAAAAAATCTATATAGGTTAACCTATACAATGAGTTAAACTCACAAGTCCCACAAGCTCTTAAGATGACTTTATTACACAGAAAAAAACAGAAATACTGTTAGTTGGTCCTAAGGCTGCTCTATATATTTTTTGAAAACCTCAAACTCAGTGGTCTTCCTACTCAGCCTAACACAGTGGTCAGAGATCTTGGTGTCCTGGTTGGTTCAGATTTATGTTTTGATGCTCAAATAAGTATTACTAGAACTTTGTTCTACCATCTACGGAACATAGCCAAGCATTAGAAGATGCTCTCCTGTCATGATGCAGAAAAACATATACATGCTTTTATAACTACTACTGTAATGCCCTCCTTTCTGGTTGCCCATACATAAACTTCAGTGAATACAAACCAAAAAATTGATCATATTACCTCTATTCAATGCTCCCTTCACTATCTTCCAGTTAAGTCTCGGATTAACTACAAAATATTGCTATTAATAATAATAATAAAAACAATAATGGTCCATAAGGACTTCGTCCTTTGGACCCTTAATAATTTACACTTTATTAATCCCCGTGGGGAAATTATTTTTATGCCTCCCTCAACTTGCTCTTTGTAGCAACACTGAGCCACTGAGCCACACGCTGCCCCCAAACTGGCTTATAAAAGTAACTTATAATTAACTTATAAAGCACTGAATGGACTTGCACCAGAATACCTTAGAGATCTACTGGCCTTTTACAACCTTCCTCACTTGCTTCTATCTCAAGGAGCAGGATATCTATTACTACATAGGGTAGAAAGAACTGCGGCAGTCTGCAGAGCATTCTCTTATAGAGCTCTGCAGCTGTGGAATAGTCTTCCAGCATATGTGCAAGATTCAGGCTCAGTCTCAGTATTTGAGTTTAGACTAAAAACACACTTGTGTAGTGTTGTGTTACTTGGTGATATTTGTGTTGGCTGCTAGTAGCTGCTTTAAAATCTGCAGTCAGTTTACTCTACCCACTACTCTAGTTAAAACTAGGGCTGTCAAAATTAACAGGTTAACGCGGATTAATCCATCATCATGATTAATCTGATTAAAATTTTTAACGCAATTAACCCATCTGCAGCACAGAATGGACTCAAAATCCCTGAAATGTCTCTGTCAACCCATTTCGGGCAGTTTTGCTGCATTCCATTTGCCCTCAGAACTCATATTACGAGTCGGATTCCGAGTTTTGAAGCCGGAAGTGATGACATGCGCACTCCCGTTTCTCGGAGATCTGAGAAATATCTCGGAGCAGCAAAGAGGATCCCGAGTTCAGAATCCAAGATGGCTGCGCCCTTTATCAACAGAAGGGAAAGTTGTAGTTTTATACTGTTTTTAAAAGCAGTATTTCTCATTTGTGGCTCATTAAATCGGTCGCACACACTATACCGTCCAACTTATCTGTGGATGTGTTGCTACAGAGTTTTATACATAAAGCACCGCGCGTAATGTGTTATCAACTAATCTTGCTAACAATGGCAATTAACCGGGCTAGAACTGAATTTCATTATTACTCGGATTATCTGTCGGATTTACGGTAGTTCGGGCTAATTGTAAGTGAACGAAGATAAAGACCATTTAAACTGAGGTACCTTAAATCCGACTAGCTGTCCGGCTAAGCAAAAAAATCTTGCTTTTTGATATGGGTCCATGATATTGCACTTCTGTGGCAGATGGAATGCATCCAACTCGTGTTCAAGATGTTCAATAAACATGTTAAGTGCATATATATTCCCTTTTTTCTTGAGTCTGTTTGCTCATGCAAAATGAAATGCGATTAATATAGATAAAAAATGAATGATATTTAATCGTGATTAATCTAAATTAATCCACAGCAAACCTGTGATTAATCTGATTAAAAAATTTTAATCATTTGACAGCACTAGTTAAAACCTGTCTCCCCTCCCTGGCCCCCCTCATTACTACCATTATCCACTCTTCCCTTAACACTGGAGTTGTTCCTCCATCACTCAAAACTGCTTCTCTTACTCTGATTCTTAAAAAAACAGATGCAGATCCCTATAACTTTTTGATAATCTTTGTCTTATATCAAACCTCCCTTTTATTTAAAAAATTCTTGAGAAAGTTGTTGCCTCCCAGCTTCACACACACCTCAGTAACCATCTCTATGAGCAATTCCAGTCTGGTTTTCGCCCCTTCCATAGTACAGAAACAGCATTACTAAAAATCACCAATGACCTCTTGATGGCGGCAGATTCTGGTCTTCTCACCATTCTCATCCTAGATCTGAGCGCAGCCTTTGACACTATTTCTCACAATACTCTTCTGAATAGATTATCATCCATTGGCATCAGTCATACTCCGTTTGCTTGGTTCACCTGATATCTGTCTGGCCGTACTCAGTTTATCCAACTCAAATCTCATTCCTTACGTTCATTCCCCGTTTCAGCCGGTGTTCCCCAGGGTTCAGTATTGGGGCCCCTTTTATTCATTATTTACATGCTACCTCTTGGCCACATATTTAGGAAATTTAATATCAATTTTCACTGTTACGCTGATGACACCCAACACTATATCTCCTCCAAACCTAGCTGCTCCTTTCCACCCTCTTCCCTCTCATACTGTCTAATGGAGATTACATCATGGTTCACCTCCAACTTTCTCAAACTCAATAGCAATAAAACTGAAGTTCTACTCATTGGTACAACTTCCGCTCTAACTAAATCCCACAGTTTCTCCATCAACATTGATAATTCCGCTATCCACTCCTCCACCCAGGTTAAGAGTCTGGGCGTCATCCTTGATAATACTCTTTCACTTCAGTCACACATTAATAGGGTGACCAGATAATCCATGTCAGGGAGGACACTCTGAGCTAGGACAGGAATTGTAAATTACCATTTCAATTAAACGGACCTGGATTTCACTTGAGCACCGAGTTCTTGCTGTGTGCTGATTGGTCAGTCTCCTATAATCATGCATGTGTCACTAATGCTAATGTGAAACAGCTGGATGAGTCTTTCAGTCAAGGAAACAAAATAGTCAAAGCACAAGAAAAGCTGAACTATTTGGGCGAGCACAGGAGCCTTTCAATTTGGAAGTAGTTTGTAAAACCCGAAGTAGCTGAAAGTGTCCTCCCTGACATGGATTTCTGGTCACCCTACACATTAATCATATCACCCAGCCAGCATAATTCTATCTGCGCAACATAAACCGACTCCGTCCCTTTCTCACTCTCCATGCTGCTGCCATCCTTGTCCATAGCCTCGTCACTTCTAGGATTGATTATTGTAACTGTCTTCTTTTTGGTCTCCCGAACAAGTCCCTCCATAAACTCCAACTCCTTCAGAACGCTGCAGCTTGAGTTGTAACTCGTACCCCCTTCAAGGAATTTATCATCCCAGTCTTTCAACAGCTTCACTGGTTGCCCATAGAAACTAGAATAGCATTCAAGATTCTGCTTCACACTTTCAAATGCATTTACAATCTCGCCCCTCCCTATCTATGTGGTCTGCTTCACATCGCCACTCCCTCCCACTCTCTCAGATCTGCCACCCATTTTATTGTTCCCTCTGCCCGCCTCGTCACCATGGGAAACAGAGTTTTCAGGTGCTCTGCTCCCCGACTCTGGAACTCACTTCCGCCGGATGTCAGAAATATTGACCCTTTTCTATTAAAGTCAAAACTCAAAACCCATTTGTTTAAATTGGCTTACTCGCTTTAACCCAATTGTTGTCTAATTATTTACATAACTCTTTTTAATTATTTGTTTTTATTGTTTGTCTTTTATGTGCTATGTAAGGCGCCCACAAATAAAATGTATTATTATTATTATCATTATTTGTTGAGAGCTAACTTTACCAGTGACAGGCTCCTCTGTGTATCTTTGCATAACACATACAAACCATTCAGCATAACATCTCTGCTCTTACCTGTTACGGTGACTGTGGTGGTCGCTTGAAAGATGCCGCTGGGGAAGGTGGTGTACTGACAGGTGTAATTTCCGGTGTCATTCATCATCACGTCTGAGACTCGGATGGACACATGATGCTGGGAATGATTGAAGAAAGTTACTCTGCCACCGAATTTGGGACTCAGGTATTTTGTCCCAAACCGTTTGTCAAATACAACAATTATTTCTTCAGGCTTCTCTGATGATCTCCACGACCACTGAACCTGTGACACCTTGGTATTGCTCAGACTCAGCCTACAGTTCATTGTGAAATCACCACCCAGGTCGGCATCAACATGTGGATATGAAATGACGTGTGGTACATTCCCAGCTGAAAGACATGTGGACAGAGAAATCATATAGACACATTACAAGTCTTTGCAGAGCATGTCGTTATGAATTTCTTATAGAATTTGTATTTCAATAGAATTTAAAAGACCAACAATGAAATAAGCTGAGTTTCTTACTAGTGTAGAGAGGCAGGCTGGTCAGTACCAGCGAAAGCAAAACCAGAGTGAGACCCATGAACGGGATCTAGTCCTGCTGTCTCAGCAAACCTGGAAAAGCATGAGAAGACAAGGGTGATTTATAGAGAGATTCCTCTCTGCTGCTGTTTCTCAAATAGTGTTTTGCGACCCTAAATTGGGTGTTGGGATCATTTTCACTGGATCACATAAAGTACGTGTTTAAAAATACACATTTTTAATTTTTTTTGTGATGTGGGACTTTTGTTTTTTAACAGTGCATGAAGGCATTGTGCTACTGTTACTGTACTAAGTTACATTCACTATTACTAACATATTTGTTGTGAAACAAATTTGATTCAAAATTTTCAAATTTTGGGTCATGACTTAATGACTAAAGAAAAATGTGAGTCCTGAGGCTGAACCAATTAAGAACTAGTGCTGCGTGCCATGATTTTACATAGACAAAACAAAGCATTGGATTAATTAAGTGAAAAGTAAGTAGATAAAAAAGGCAAAAAATACCCTGACAATTCGTTCATCGATTTTAATTTTAAATAGCATGAAGCAGCTAAATTAATAGAAAATGAGTACAATAGCTAATTACATTCTACAATATGGAATGGGTGCTCAGTTTCATTGCATGCTTTAATAAAAATAGTTGTTTTAAAGAATGTAAAGTTAAATTAGTTTGCAGTGCAATAGCATTTTGACAGGTTTACTGTTCATAAAACACGAACCACCTCATATTTATTCAAGATTTATCAAGGGAAGTGGAACTGATTGCTGGAACTGTTTACTCTTGCGAATAAGACCCCATAGTGCTCATATTAGCTAAAATAAAAACCGACTGACCTCAGTTTACCTGAGCTAGAGTTGAAAGAGTGGCCAGTCATCTTCTGTGTCTGTTTCTTGTGCTTAAGGATTTAAATATTCATATTCACAAGAGATGTGCTACATGTACAAAAATAATCATTAGCACAACTATAACTAATGTTACATAGGTTATTTCCCCTAAACAGCCTCTGGTGTTTCTTTTGGGTACTAAAAGGCAGTATATGGAATCTAACAAGTGCACACCATATGTATCTCTTTAAATGACTTACTGACCTTTTGATTTATGTCTGGCAAGACACTGCAGCATTTCCATAGAGATTCACACCACATCAACTTACTTCATATTTTATACTTGTTTTTTACATCCCTTGAAACGTAGTTTTTAATTAAATTGCACAGCTAACTGGTGTATTCTGCAGCATTGTGGTTAAAAATGACCTTCTTTTTCTGTTTTTTACATCACAGTAGCCCTTTGTAGGACACGTGTCTGTGTGTGTGTTTGTAAAGAAGCATATTACATGTTACAATGGGATTTTTTTTATTGGTTGCATACTAATGTTTCTGCTCTATGGTTGGCAGAAATCAGAAATAACATGATAATTACCACTGTGGTTTCAGAGAACAGATGCAGAATGTACATCTGTAAAATAATGTATAACATAATGAGATGATAATGTAGGGCATGCTCATCAACTCTGTCCTTTGTGACCTCCAGACACATTTTTGGTCCAGCTGGGAGCTGAGAGGGAACAAAACCATGGGCTGTCCGGTAAAAAGCTGGGAGGGAGCGAAAACGTGGACTGTCTGGGGGTCCCCAAGCACCGGCTTCAGAAAGACTGATGTAGGTCGTTTAGACAGGATTGACAGATATTATTCAGTAGGCAGCCTGATAACATGGAACTAAAATGGCCAAGAGGCTGTCAAATATAATTTGACTTTTATTAGTGTGTATATTATTTTATAATAGTGGAATTATTTTCCTTTGGTGCACTAGATTTTCTTCCATAAAAACTACAACCTGATTTTAAAAACATGAAATATTAATATCAGCAAGATAGAATTAGTTTAAATCCTTCTTTTGATGCAATCCACATATTAATTAAAAATTACTGACCTTGTTCAAGTACACAAGCCAAGTGACTTTCTTGCTGTCCAGTCAAGGTCTGTTGAATGTGAAATGTTTAAGCAAAATGCTTTGTCGAGTGGAAGGCAAATGAAAGGAACTGAGAAACTGCACATGTGTGGTCACATGACCTTCACTTCGTCACAGTTTGGAAAAAAAAAGTATTTGCCAACTCAAATACAACAGAAAGACATATCAACACATCATTTTGTTATCCATTAAATGATTTTGTACTTTTGCAAGACAGTGTAGAGCAGTGTTTCCCAACCCAGTGCTTGGGGACCCCCAGGTGGTCCATGTATTTGCTCCCTCCCAGCTCCCTGCTATACAGTCCACTGTGGGGGGGTCCATCAGCACCAGGTTGGGAAACACTGCTGTAGACCCTTATTATTTAAAAGAGTTTGTGAGTTTTTGATCCCTTTTAAGTAGGGGAACAGTAAATACAGAAACAGAGGTTTTTTTGAGTAATAACATACGAGGAGGAGTGCGTTTGTACTGCAATATATCACGACAGTGATTCGGTCGTAGGTACAAGGCCACAGGCCAAGTGCTGAAGACAATCACAGCTGTGATATCCTGGAGTACAACACACAACTTTTAAAAATATGTTATTGCTTTTATACAACAGTTCGAGTGGCATTTATAAGGTAACAGTAATAAGAAACAACACTATTTGTTTATTTACTTAAACATTTACGGGCCTCCACAAAGAAAAATAGTTCCGGTAGCGTCAGCGAAAGTGGGACGGGCTATCGCTCCAAACCTTCCACATACCTGGAAAATTCAGTCTATAGCCAATATAGTTTTGTCTAACATCACTGGTGCCAGCAGTGAAACAACTGGCCAGCATATTAGCAGAATAACTTTGCATTGTAAATTAAAACCATGCCGCAGGTCTAATAGATAAAATACTGTGGCGCTTGAGAGGTGAAGAAATTATACTTTGATAATCGCACGCATAGATTGCCTCTTGTCCAAACAGATTTTTTGTTTGGAACTAATATTTGCATAGTATTAATTATGATTTAATATAATTATATGCCAGCTACTCTGTAAAGTAAATCACTCACTATGGGCAACTTAGAGATGCGTCCTCAATGCTTGGTTTTGGGCAGAAGAAGGAAGGAAAAGGACTGGGATTGAGCTCACACAAACTTGGGGAGAGCACACAAACTCGATGCTGGGTAATATGAAAGGTGCCTGAATCTGATATAAACTGACACTATAAGCACTTCTGCTTACAGCAGTAGCAATGGAACAGTATTGTAATGTTTTGATTTAAACTGTGCTCTACTACTATAATGCTCAAGACTAATTGGTTATAATGAACTGGTCCTGTGATATGAAATCGCTATGCAGTAATATCCATCCCTCATCCATAACTACTTATCAAGTATCAGGATCACAGAGAACCTAAAGCCTGTTCCAACATGCATAGGACCCCGTGTAAGGGACAGCAGTCGGTCACAGGGAAAACATTCACACTCTTTGGGCAAGTTTTGGACCTCAATTCACCAAACTGCCTGTTTTTGGACTCCTTCTGAAAACACAAGGAGCTAGAACATGCAAAGCCTGCACACTTACAATTATAGGCTCACACCTACGAGGACTCAAGTTGTGAACCTGCAATTCTACCCACAAGTTACAATTATATACTACTGATATGTTTGTTACATTTTGGTTGTACGTGGTAGTCAAGTCTGGGTAGACTGTGCTTTAAAAATGCATAAGTGATACAGCCCAGTGGCTCAATTTCACAGTCCCAGGGTAGGGCACTGGATGCGGCTGCACATTGGGTCTTCCATAGGTACTAGGATTACCTTCAAGTCTGGTGACCTTCTGCTCAGGTAAGTTAGATATATGAAATGTGAATGAGTACTGGATTGAGTCATCAGATTTTTGCATTCAAAGCAAGCATCCCTCCATTTTCTATATCTGCTTGTCCTATTTGTATACAGTAGGTGTCCTATAGACACAAAGCCAGAAACAGCCCAGGATGGGGCACCAACCCATTGCAGGACACACTCACACATGCATACCTATAGGCAATTTGGTAACTCCAACTGACCACAGCATATTCTTGGACTCCATGGGGAAACCAGTGTACCTGGTGGAAACACCACAATGACATAAAGCGAATGTGCAAACTCCACACTCATAGAACCCAGGCAGACCCTTGAACCCTGGTTGCAGAGATATGGCGCAACAATTCTAACCACTGCACCACTGTGCCACATCCACATGCGCATGAAAAACGTAAATCAAATATTCCTTTCATGCAATAGCCAATCAATGACAAAATGGCAAATGTAGCACTTAAGCAAAAGCCATCATAATCTGAATGGGAAAGGCTTTGAAACGGATTAGCATAAAATGCTACATTTGAAGAATCAGCTTGGTGTACTGAAAATAGGCCTACACCTACAGACATATTAGTGTACACTATTTTGCCAAAAATATTGGGACATCCCTCCAAATCATTAAATTCAGGTGTTCTAATGACTTCCATAGCCACAGGTGTATAAAATCAAGCACCTAGGCATGCAGACTGCTTCTACAAACGTTTGCGAAAGAATGGGTCGCTCTCTGGAGTTCAGTGAATTCCAGCATGGTACGATGATAGGATGCCATCTGTGCAATAAGTCCATTTGTGAAATTTCCTCGCTATTAAGTATTCCACGGTCAACTGTTAGTAGTATTATACCAAAGTGGAAGCAATTGGGAACAACAGAAACTCAGCCACAAAACGGTAGACCACGTAAGATCATAGAGTGGGGACAACGCATGCTGAAGCGCATAGTGTGCAGAAGTCACCAACTGTCTGCAGAGTCAATAGCTACAGACCTCTAAACTCCGTGTGTCCTTCAGATTAGCTCAAGAACAGTGTGTAGAGAACTTCACAGAATGGGTTAACATGGCTGAGCAGCTGCATCCAAGGCTTACATCACTAAATGCAATGCAAAGTGTCGAATGCAGTGGTGTAAAGCAAACTGCCACTGGACTCTAGAGCAGTAGAGACGTGTTCTCTGGAGTGACGAATCACGCTTCTCTATCTGGCCATCTGGACGAATCTCGGTTTGGCGGTTGCTGGGAGAACGGTACTTGCCTGACTGCATTGTGCCAAGTGTAAAGTTTGGTGGAGGGGGGATTATGGTGTGAGGCTGTTTTTCAGGGGTTGGGCTTGGCCCCTTAGTTTCAGTGAAAGGAACTCTTAATGCTGCAGCATTCAAAGCCATTTTGAACAATATCATGAACTTTGAGGGAACGGTTTGGGGATGGCCCCTTCCTGTTCCAACATGACTGCGCACCAGTGCACAAAGCAAGGTCCATAAGGACATGGATAAGCGAGTCTGGTGTGGAGCAACTTGACTGGCCTGCACTGAGCCCTGACCTCAATCCCAATAGATCACCTTTGGGATGAATTAGAACAGAGACTGCGAGCCAGGCCATCTCGTCCAACATCAGTGCCTGACTTCACTAATGCTCTCCTGGAAGAATGGTAAAAAAAATCCCATAAACACACTGCTAAATCTTGTGGACAGCCTTCCCATAAGAGTTGAAGCTGTTATAGTTGCAAATTGTGGGCCAACTATTAAAGCCTATGCATTAAAATTGGGATATCATTAAAGTTCTTGTGTGTGTAAAGGCAGGTGTCCCAATACTTTTGGCAATATAGTGTATGTTACACCAAAAGTAAGTCTTCATGTGGAGATGATTCATGACATTTCATTACAACTGCATGTTGTGCTTGTTGGCAAGTGTGCTTTTTAGCTGAGCTATTAGGTTGCCAAACCATGCAATGATAACATATCTGATTACGCTCTCTACTATTGCATGATAGAAGATCATCATGATCTAGCTACTCACACCATTCTTATCAAAATATCCACTCACCCATTTGTTGATCCACTGATATCTAATAAAATGATATCTTCTCTCAGACAGCAACCTGCAGCACTGTTGCCCCACACTTCTTAACCTTATAAGTCTAAGTCATGTCTGCTTCTTTAGGTCAACACCAGCTTCTCAAAAATTAAGCTTTGTTTCTATTGAAATTCTGCTTCCTCACACCTCCATGGTTGTGGTTGTATCACTGGCTATATGTGTGTGGATTTGCATGTTCTCCAGTGTTGTGTAGGTTTCCTCCTGCAGTGCAAAGACACTCAGTTATGCTAATAGACATCTCAATAATTTCCCATAGTGTGTAGCCTGCCATTCTATCAACAGATTTCCATGCCTTGTTCCCTGTGCATTATGGGATCAGCCCCAGGTTCTCTGTAAACCCGTACTGGATGGTTGGAACATATAAGATCATCATGAAGGATTTAGGATTTTTACATAGACAAACTGACCAGAGCACACCAGATATTCCATGCATCGTCATAATTATGATATGAAGTGAGCTCTTGGATGGAGAGAGAATGTTATACCTTTTTAAATGTTTAATTTGGTCAAAAAAGATTTAAGTTAAACTTCTTAGTTATATTAGAAGAAATTTACAAGTTGATAACCAGGGTCAACTGAACTGTCCACCGTATTGCCTCAAAAAAAAAAAATGCAGAAATTGTTTTTCAGTTTCTTCATGCATCTACCCATATTGCAATGTTTTACATTAGCTGCAATGCTTCCGATTTCAACAGATAATTATTTTCTTTACAATTCCCTCACCCCATTGGCTTAGTATTATGTTACTCATAATGTATACTCAGATTAAAATGCAACTCAGTGATTTTTGCATTTATTCCCATTTACACAGCTGCATTTATTTTTGTTATTTATTTATTTATAGCTATACATACTCACATGTATCTGCGTATGTATGGAATACCGGGAGTGCAAACTGATTGGTTGTACTGGATACTCTTTGCTTGCTGGCCCTGGGCATTTGGGGGGAAATGAGATACCAAATATCACTAGGCGGGGATAAGGGCTGCTTCCTTGACTTGTAGTTTTAGACACACCCCGGGTTTGCATGGTTTTCTCACAACCTCTCGTTAGTGTGCAACAGGAGGAACTGAGATTCAGCGACTAGCTAATGTTATTTCAGTTCTCCAGTGTCCAGTATTTTCATTC